CCCCGCCCCGGCTCCTCAACACAAACTTTCCGTCCCGCTCGCTCCCTCCTCCGCGCCCGGCGCCTCCCGCTCCAGCCCGGCTCATTCCGCACATTCCGGCCGGCCCCCTCCCCACGACCCCCCTTCCCGGCCCCCCTCGCGGCTCCGTCGGGCCCGGCGCAGCGGCCCGGCCGGAGCGCCCCCCCGAGCTCGGACCAGGTAAGCCGGGCGGACGCCGGGAGGAGGCCCTGCTGGGGAGAGGTGGTTTGGTTGGTTGGTTGGTTCTGGATGGGGAGGCAACACTCGAGGGGGGCTGGGTCCCCGAGCTATTGTCCAGCCTGAGCCCGAGCCCCGGATCTGGGTGCCGGGAAGTTTAGAGAGAAGGGGGGAGATCTCTCCGGGAAGCTCCGCCCCCACCCCCACCCCCCCGCGGCGGGGACGCGTTGGTCGGGGGAGGTAAGGAAGCCGGGATATTGTGTCCCCCGTGCCATCGCCTGTCCCGCCGTCCGCGCTCGGGGTGTCGGGGCGGGGACCTGGGGGCCGCAGAGTTTGGAGGGCCTGCCACCGGGGAGCTGGTATCCGGGGCGCCCAGTCCCGGGCCCCGCCGCCCTTTGGACTCGCGGCTCGCGCTCTCCGGAGCCCGCCCGGCCCCGGCTCCACGCAGGCCTCTGCCCGGCCTCCCGGCGCCCAGGCCGGTTCTGCGCGCGGCGCCCGCGGCTGCGCTGGGTTTGGAGGGTGCCTGGGAGCAAAGCCGCGCGCCCTGGGCGTGCGTCCCCTGAGAGGCAGGGGCTCGAGTTCCCTCCTGCTCTGCTGCCTGCCTCGGGGTCGCGGCTCGGAGTTTAAGTTCTGAGCTCTAGGAGCCTGGCTCCGGAGGGCGCTGGATTTGGGGCCTTTTCTTCACCGCACTTAATCAGGGCCCTTGTGTGGACTTTAAAGGGTTTAAGGTTGGCTGCCTGGTCCACCCTTTGCACCCCCGACCCCTCCATTGTCTGTCATGCACTTTATTCCTGCCTGGGAAGGCAGGACCAGGGGTGCTATTCTGGGTCTGTTTTCCAGCCCAGCCAGGCCCCTGGAGCAGTGTCATTGAGACCCCCCTGTGTCACCTTTCCTGGAGAGGGGCCCTGATTGGGGCTGAGAGATTCTTTCAGGGCAAGGGGGAATGAGGCCTTGGGGGAGGGCTTCTCAGGGGATGTCTCCCTCTGTATCTTCCTTCTCTCCAGATAGGGGCAGGACCAGGTCAGGCCTGGACTTGCAGCCCAGGAGAACAGGGGATGGAGGTGGGGACTGGACACAGCTCCGAGGGGCCGATGCCCATGGTGGCTTTATCCATCTGGTCTCCCGAGGCCTGTGTAACGTGTTCCACCCCAGTGCTGGGGGCTGGGACAGCTCCATTATCCGGATGCTGGGGGCAAGGAGAGAAGAAAGTACTCCCAAAAGTTGGTATTTGGAGAAATTATGTCCCCTGTCTTCCAGACTCCTGTAGTCCCCTTCCCAAAACCCTCCCCCTAGGGGGACCCCCCCAAAGGATGTAGTTCTTCTGGGTCCCTGCTCACCCTGTGGGCAGGGAATGGACAGATAGATGTATCATCCAAGAATGAGCTCTCTGGTTAGGGTGACTTTAGGGGCCCTGGATGCCCCCTCCTCAGGGAGAGGCTGGAGGCAGTAGGAGCCTCAAGCTCTTGGGCCTTCCCCCACCCCTCCAGGGAGGGAACCCTAATGAATATGCTAATTAGCGCATTTGGGCCCGGGAATGGCCTAGTAGACTGGTCAGAGGTTGCCAGGAGAGAGCGGCATGTAAGTGTTCTGAGCCCTGCTCCCACCCTCACCCTCAGGTTGCAGACCCTGGTGTGTTCTGCCAGTTGAAGAAACAGTAAACCAGGAGGAGATATCTCAACAGAGGAGGTCAAGAGATTAGGGATCTGGTCCAGCTGGACCTTTAACCAGTTATACCATCTTGGCAGGCCCCTTTGGGCCTCGGTTTCCTTGCTTGGAATAAATGACTTCTCAGGTCCCCCCTTCTCTGAGCTCCTCCTAGTCTCTGTCTTCCAGTCTGCTTTCCTTCTCCCCCCATTGTGGAACCTAAACCTGGGTCTGGAGGTGAGTGGGTGACCAGTGGTCCAAGGAAGAAGGTAAGGACAAAGCAAGGACTGAGGAGTAGCGAAACCAGGTGAGCAGGGCTGAAAAGGTTGCAGGCGGCAGGTGTCAAAGGACAGGGAGCCCAGTAGAGTCAGGGGATCTTGCCCTCCGAAGTGGCCCTGGGGTCTGGCAGGGCTGGATGGGATGGGTGTTCAGAGACCACTTGGATGGCCTGACCTTCTGTCCTACTCCCAGACCCCTCTGGGGGCCCCCAGGGCTCAGTGCGAAAGCTGGCTGGGAAGGAAGCTGTAAGTCCCACCCACTGCCCCACTCAGGGTGGGAGGGATGCCAGGGGCCAGTTCACAGCAGGGAGAGTGGAGAAGGGAGCCGTGAGGGGTCCAAAGGCTGCAGTTTCTATGGAGGTGGCTAGGAGTTTGCAGCTTTCTCTTCCAACATGGGGGCTGCAGAAGCTGTGGGGTCCCAGGGGTGACCTTGAGCATCCAGGTCTTCATGGACCTCTGGACAGCCCGGGCCATGGCAGGAGCTTCTCTGTCAGAGCTGGGGAGGTCAGTGATCACACTTGGCCCTGTCCCTCCCCTGCCCTCCTGGTGTTGTGCCAGGAAGGGCTGCCACCCCCAGGGAGGACACTGGATGGAGGACACTGGAGGAGCGGGCTCTGCCTGTCATCCCGGACCGCGGGGGGCTGGAGGCAGGGCCAGAGAATTCCATACCCCTGCAGATCCCCAAAGCACAGCCCTTGGGTTTCCTAGAGTGCCGATTGTTTCCTGTGCTCCCTGCCAGGCCCGAAAGGACAGGAAGTGATAGAAGGAAACGAGAGTGGAGAGTGCAACCGTGTGTGACTCTGGATGCATGTAAGAGAGAAGCGGTGAGCGGGACATTCTGTGTGGCTGGGACGTCTGCAGGGCTGGATGTGCGCCGGAGAGAACCTGGGTGAGACGGCTTGCGTGAGGCAGGGCATATGTATGAGAGAAACTGACTTTGTGACACTTGTGTGTGACATTCTCTACATGTGACTGATAGTGTGCGTCCATGAGAGAAACCTTGTGAATCGCAGTGTGCTGCTGCACGTGTGTGTGGGAACTCATGTGGCCGTCGCCCTCGACGTGTCTGTGAAGGAAGCCATTTGCTTGGCTGCGTGTGTGCCTGTGGGTGACACTGGGCGTGATTCAGATGCTCACTCTACGTGTGTGTGAGGGACACCGATTCATGACGCTATGTGAGTGAGTGTGTGTGTGTGTGTGTGTATGTGTGTGTGTGAGAGAGAAGCAGAATGAGTGATATTTTGTGTGACGTGTGATGCTGTGCTATGACCCAGTATGTGCCATGGCCACAGGTCTGCTTTGTGTGACTACGCACGACACTGTGTCTGAGCAAAAAGCTGTGGTCAGCTCTGTGACGGTGTGATGCGTGTGGCACGATGAGTTACATCGATACGTGCGCAGAGAAGCAGTTTTGAGCAGAGTGTGAACACGCTGTGTGAGTGACGCCGACCCCAGAAGGCGGCTGTGTGTGAGAGAAACGTGGGGTGTGACTGTGCCTGGCTCCCTGGGAGGTCACTATCTGGGCTTGTTTGGGACGGGCAGTGTGGTGACATTCTAGGGGCTGTACCAGATGGGGTGTAGGATGCCACGTGGGACACGTTTGGGGGCCTGTGACCCTTATGCATATGGCATCTATGTGGAAGACCACGAAAATGATACTGGTAAGGCTGGCCAATGGCTCACGCCTGTCACCCTAGCACTCTGGGAGGCCGAGGCGGGAGGATCACTTGAGCGCAGGAGTTCGAGACCAGCCTGAGCAAGAGCGAGACCCTGTCTCCACT